AAAGAAAAAAGAGAGGCATTGGAGAGGTCAAGTTTTAGTGAACTAAAACAAATTAAGTGACAGGTGGAGCTGGTAATAATAGTATAAAGCACATCATAAATTGGACCTGTAAGGAGAATAATTCTGTTCCTTGAAAAGTGGAAAAAAATTACAGATTCTAGAGTTGGTTTTGGGTAGCATGTAGAGGAAGCTGCTTGAAACATGATATACGCTCCTCAGGATCGGGGGAGGCATTAATCTCTGCTAAACGCTGTTTGCCCGCGGCAGAGCGACCCATTTCACAGCCGCACTGGGAGCCGCCTAAGCCGCAAGAGCGAGTGGGAGCAGCAAAAGCCTCCAGTGCTGGTGTCCGCATAGGAACCTTATCCCAGGACACGACCTTGGCTTGTTAAATTGGTTCAAGGGCACTGCACATGGAGGGATATAAACAAAAATTAAGACAACATAATCATAAAACATGGCAAGCAAGCAGCAGGACTGGAGTAGTAGCCCTCAAAGAAGCAGTCTCTGAAATACTGAACGCATGCGTTTAACTGAGCGGTTGGAATTGACAGCTTTAGGCTGTTGTGAGCCGTTTTTCTTGGAGTTTTTCAGCAAGCAACGAGGATGTCCTGAAGCAGTTCTGCTGTCCGTCGGCTGCCACGTCCCTCCTATGACGTTTTGCTGTCCGGATGCGGACAAGGCCAGGACCTTCCACTTTCCCTTTGGCCTCCCAGCAGGGTGGGAAGAGCAGCACTAGTCCCCTCTGAGGAAGGGATCAGAGCGGATCGGACCCTTCCTACGGGCAGAGGTGTGTCGCAAAGACCCAATCCCATACAGACAAGACATAACTTTGTCCTCAATAAAAATAAGTTCTCTTGAACTGCCTAGGTTTTGGCTTTCTTTCCAGAGGGCTAAGTGTAAAAGCTTACCATCACCTACATCAGCTTTCTCGCGAAGCCAAACCAGCCACAACTTGAGACGGGCAGAAGGACTTCCTAGGTGTTAGCGGGTTTTATAACTGCCTCTTCCCATTCCAGTCAGTTTTCACGGCCAAAGACTCTAAAGTAATTTTTTTTTGAGAGAAAAGCTCTTAGGAAAGGAACCCATGTTATCTTCGACATTTAGAAATCAGCTAACACATCCCACTGTTGATACTCATGGAAAAAGATGAGCAGGACTTCGATAGCCATAGACTGTCCTCAATGGCCTCACTGAAACTACGGCCTCGCACACTTTTGATCACTTTGGGCTTTCAGCGCATGCGTGAAATGACTTGAAAGTTTATAAAATTAATTCCAGACAAATATTAGCGAGGCCTCAAGAGGAAAGCACATCTCCTTCCTTCTGGGAATTTATAGTTCATCCACTTTATCTTCAGGAGGCTCTTTTGAGATCAAAGATTTGTACAACTTTCCCGTTGCAAAACTCATGAAGAAAACAGTGTTACCAATGCCATGACATAATTTTTTTTTTAATGATTCATTGAGCCTCTCTCAAAATAAAATTCCTGCATGCATACCTAAAACAAAACAATAAAAGTCACACAGGAAAGAAAGTGGTTTTTTTTTTGATCTAACTCTTCTTACAAAGACGACTCCTACGCTGAATGCTTACAGGTGCTAAATACTGCTCTACCTAATAAAAATGAGACGGCCAAATGGAGGCTCTTGGGCTACGTGTAGCTGAAACCGCTCCAGTGCAGCTCTCCGCTGGGGCTGCCTCGCGTGACGGATATGGCTGGCCACGGATCATGGGGGAACGGCCTGCGGCTGCACATGGATGCACGCCAGCACACGCTGCTGCCATGCGCGCAAAGCCACTGCTGCGAGGTTACCCTAAACGCCAGGGGGAAACCCGGTTCGGCAGCACCCTGCAACAACGAAGCAACAGAATCTAGGACTTGGGATGCTTTTTCCACAGTACATGACCTTGCTCTTCCTTTTTTTTTTTAAAAAAAAGGTGCATCCTTATAATGTAAAATTACCTGGTTTTCCCCATGCTATTTTGAAGACTAAACAGGTCCTTACAAATGTAAACTGTCCCGCTAATGTCACTAGGAAAATGACCTGTCACTATGGCAATTTTGCACATCACCTTCACCTTAAAGGATCAAAAACCTAACTTACAAAAAGACACGCAACTTGGTGGGAATGTGCTGCACTTCTGGAACAATTTGACTTTATTACAATCCGAGAAGATAAAGCAAATTTGGGAAAGGACGGCAAGTCGCTGAAGCATTACAGAAGCACTGTCAGTTTTCATTTAGCAGCAAAGATGACGAGAATAGCAGCCTCAACAGTCCACCAACTTTCCATAACTATTTCTCAAAATAATAGAGGTCTCGGCACATCTGCCCCTATAAAACCAGTATTTAGACAGCCTAACGGACTAGACTGATTCTATCAAACATCTGCCTGCAACACTAAATTTAAACAGTTCACACACAGTGGAAAGTTGCTACTTATACAAGTGACTTGCAAAGATACTGGAATAGATTCCAAGGAGTCAATGCAAAAGGATTTGGAACCTGACTGCGAGTCGTCTGAGCATCAGCCTTAAATTGATTCTAAAAACAGCAGACCACATTTAGCTGGAATCACTCAGTGAGTCTATACTAAATGCATCATACTTGTCAGCGTTTTGGGGAGGAAGAATCCTGGGAGTTTCACGAAGCTATTTCTTGGAGCATAGCCACAGTGAAACATTTTCCACTGTGAAATTGTGATGTTTTCAGGGAAGATGGGAAACTCATGAAGCCAGGAAGGCTGAAGAGGAAAACTAACGATAGCTGGGAAGATTATAAATGCAGTCAGGGCTTGACAAGCTTAGTGAGCATGAGGCCATCAACAGACCACTACTTAAATATTTCTTTCTCTCCCTCACCTCCTAGATGTCATGCAGGAGGCAGGTCCTCCGCTTGCCTTCAAACAGTGCCAACGCCAGTTTTAACAAAGGCATAACGTGTGCACATTCATTCTGCTGATAAGCAGCTCAAATTTTACTGGTTGAACTTACTGGTGGGCTGACTGCTCAATAAACGTCTTTAATTATTTTAAAATAGTTCTAATGCATCTCTTACTCCAAATTCTGTTCTGTTTAAAATATCAGCTTCTGCTGTTAGAGGAGAAACATCAGTGTAGCAATAGCTTCATTGAAAGACATGAAGAAAATGCAGTCACCAAGTGCTGAACAAGAAATGCTTCTGAGCATGCTTTCAAATCAAGGCGAGAGACCTATAATCTAAATCCCCATATACCTCCCAGGCCTTCTCCTTGGCTCATCTCTCTGCCTATTCCTGGGTCCCCAAGGAGAATCTTTTAATTCTCATTCTCTTTCGTGCCTGTTCCTGCTCATTTCTAACCACGTCTCATCCCTCCTCAAACTCCATCCGCTGCTGCTCTGCTTCGGCAGGCTCTTACAGAGGACATTCAGGAACTCCACTGAATTTCTCAACCAATACATGGTTACTTTAACTAGACAGAATTTTCTTCACTTCTCAGAAGTAAAACCTTTTCAACCAGTCCATGGCAACTCAATCTCCTTTCCCTCTCCGTACAGAAATGGACCTGTGCTTTTCTCCAGTAAGAAAGCTGGCAAGCTCTTCCAGGGACTCTATAGAAAAGGCAGTCTTAATGTCTCAATTTCAGGATTAGAGAATCATGAAAAGACAGCATCTGAAATTCAATTATTGTATCGAAAAAAGGCAGGATTTGGGTTGGGGGGAGGGGCTGAAGGTGAAGTTACAGATCTAATTATTTTAGCCTTTATTACTTAAGTTCTCAACAAGAGTTGGGGGTATTTTTAGCACAATAAAGGTGTGCTACTCACCCTACGTTATGCTTTACCTAAGGATTTTGGCTTTGTTCTTAGAAGAATATAAAGGTGACATTACATGACCTCAAACATGATACATAATTTCAGCAACACTCAATTTTTAGTTTTAAAACGCACTTCAAACATTCAAGAGTTTCAGAGAACAACTGCTGTGTGAAGAACCAAGCTTTTGGCACCCAGAATACAATTGCTGGAGAACACAGAAGAATTATGACGGTGTCAAAAGTGTCATACACAATCAGCAATTCAAAGGATGTGCCTTTGTTGTTTACTTTCAGTTCCCCATACATACAGTGCTCTTGGTCCCCATAACCTTGCTGTATAAACAGCTTCAAAACCAGAGTAAATTCAGCTTCACATCACTGTGTTTCACACGTCATGAAGGACAGCAATGCTGTCCCTTCCCTGGCTCTTCAGGCATAAGGTTTTCTACCTCCAGTTTTTCTGGCCCATATCACGCGCATCTTACACATATGCCAGACCAGCTGATGCCCTGAGGACGCAGCACAGAATCTCCTTCCCTACTGGGACACCAGAGAGGTCTAGCAGTCATCCAACACCTATGCCTCCAAGGAAGCCCAACGCACCTCTTGTTTGAGTCACAGATCCTCATTTTTATATTTATCAAATCACAGATAAATGTTTCAGATTTTTGGTATTTTTTCCGCTCTCTTAATACAAGCTCTATACAACTCTTATTTTCCTTAATACAGACTTTGAACCCATCTGCAACCCTCCACTGCACTGTGAAAGCCAATTACAGTGCAGATACTGTTTCGTAATGCGGACACGCTCACAGCTGATGTTTAAAACTATTTAGAAAAGCCACTTGATTATTTTAATCAAAGACAGATGTACAGAACAAAAATATAGGTCTATATGTACAAATTACACCCATAAATGAGCTTAGAGCCTCTCTAACAGAGAATAAAAGTCAAGGATAAAATGATCAAGCAGTATTAATTTGAGTAAACTTGTTAGAAGCACAGCTGTAGAAATTAGCACTACTGGAACTAATAAGCTGGAAGGCAATCAAATTTAGAAAGAAACTGTTATAAGGCACAGATGCCACTTTTTTCCGCACAGACACAATTCTGTATATAACCATGATCCGAAATAATGTCAGTCTTCTGCTTGTTTGTGAAAAGACAGCAAATGTAGCAGTAACAAAGTGAGAGACTCACCATCTGGCCCTTCGCTACCTTTACTCCTTTTATTTCGACGGACACGTCTACCTTCTTCTCCAACATGCAACTTTTCTTCAGGATGGAAGAAGTTCAGCAAGGCCAGCTGAAAGAACAAGAACAAGTTTAAGCACCCTTGGAAGCAAACCAGCTTAGCTGCGCATCCTGGAGAGCAGAGTCTGAATGCGACCTCCTTTCCATACACAACAGTTTCTGTTAAATTGAAAGGGAGAATGAAATGCAAGTGAAACGCTGGAGAGCCCCTTAGGAACGCCTCACTCGTCGTAACTGGAACTGCAAGAAGTTTTGCCATATCTGACACGTAGCTTGTCATAAATGAGCTCAGATATCCCTTAGAGGACTTCCGTTTGTAACCAGCACGTGTTCATCTGCGGCGCAAAGACCAGGGAAGAGGAAACGAACTTCCGAGCTCTGATGTCAATTCTCTTGAATAAAGCAATTTGGCCAATTTAAAATGTAGGAATTAATAATGCTCTCTGCTGCAAACAGGCTGGGGTGAATAACAAGGTCCCTGTTTGAACACACTCCTGAAGAGTTAAAGCACCAGCACATTCACATTCATTAAAGGAAATACAGTAATGACCAGGATATTTAGATATGTAATGCAAAGTGGTGAATAAAGTTGGGAATTTCATGCAAGAACCCTAACACCTACACAGACTGCAGCAGGATTTTGCATTTCTGTAAGGGAACAGTCCCTCTACTACTAAACTCCAGTAGGCTGATCTATACTTAAAAAATTATTTCTGTTATCCTTCTTAAAATGGCATCCAGTTTCATTAACTAAATAAAAATCACCTTGGAAGCATTCTAAAACTTGTGAAAAGTCAATCTTAATAACGAACATAATTAGAAGAAAGCAGTAGCGCACTTCAACTTCAAGTGAAAACAGGTTCCCTATTGCTAGCACAGTACCTGACCCAGAAAAGGTACCGGAAAAAGTCGAGAAAATGCCGTATCACAAGCACAAATCACTATAAAAACAGAAAGAGCTTCAAAATACAGAGTTCTGTAGGCACTATTTTGAGGCTTATTTTCAGAAATAAGCCTCAAATTCGGCTCATGTTTTGCTCTCGTTTCCCCGCTCCCCAAGACCCAGCTTTCTTTAGGAACGCACTTTAAAAGACGATGCAGGAGTGATGGTGGTGGCCGGAGCAGCGGTGGTCAGGGTGGCAGGATGCAGCAGCCAGGCAGCGCCGCGGGATGGGGACGGGGACGGGGACGGGGACAGCCTGGTGGCAGCGGGCAGTGAGCCCAGGGCGACGGCAGCTCTGCTGCCCTGAGCCCTGGCACCCCGCACCACTGGCAGATTTTCTAATTTCCTGCAGTAGGCTGAGTTACTAACACATGGATGATGGACGGGCTAGCCGGAAATAATCAAAAGCCCCAAACACTGATGCAATCGCTTGTAATTATTCTCTGTAAAACTTGCTCAATTCTAGAACTCTTTCACCAGTGTTTACTCACTGCCAGTAAGTTTTTCTCTGTCAAGCTCTCTTCCGTAAGCCTCATTAGCTACTGAGATTCAAAGGTCTTCAGAGACCTTTAAACCCAATTCAGTGTAACACACAAATTAGCACTTTAAACCTAGAGCACGTACATCTTCAGAACATGATTTTTGCCAAGAGGCAAAAATTTTATGTAGTGACCTCTTATTCACAAAAAATGGTTACTGCATTAAGGACGCTTCGACAGTTATTAAATAAACATTCCTATCGAGAAACTTGAGTTTCAGTTTAAAGGCTTCACCAGTCCTCCCAGGAACTCCTGAGATGCTCCTCACCCAGTAGCGTTTCCTCCAGGTATTTCCACTTCATAAACCATGCGATTGCAGGACAGACGAGTTCAGGGAGCGAAGCACTGAGCTCTGCACGTTACTGCACCCACCGATAATCAGGGCTGCCTCTGCCCAGGGTGGGATTTTCTCCTTTAAACTTAAGGACTTGGATCGCAGTTATTTGATTCACAGACACACGTACAAATCTAATACACACAAATGCACCCGTCTGTAAGAAAGGAATGGAGAGACTTCAGAAAAGCAGCTCCAAAGGTCATCAACTTTGTCACTCTTCGAAGGACAAACTCTATGGGATCAAAGCTTAGATGGCAGAGAAGAACAAATTCCTTTCGTGACTTACCAGCTAAAATAAGGGCTTGTTGAGCTGGAAGTCATAAAGGTCCCTATCAAAAGTAATGACCATTAAAGGCCTCTCTGCTTGCGACGTGCAGGCAGCAGGGTTTCCCCATTTTCGGTAAGCCCTTTCCCTGCGGCCCCTGCTGAGCCGAGCTCAGCACACCTCTCCCTGGATCAGCCTGGGACTGTGGTCTAGTCTGGTCACTTTTGAGGTGGGTCTGCAAAAGCTGAAAAGAAAAACCAGTATTGACAGTGAGCTGAAATCTGCAAAACAGGCACTGGCTTTTCTAACAGAAAAACATTCAGATCCATTTGAAATGGTGGGCGGCTTCCCTCCCCTCCCTCCTTCTGCTCTCCGGAAGCGTTAGCTCAAGGCAGTGGCACAGAAAAAGGGGAACGGAAGGACAAGGGGGTGAACTCACTAAATTTATAAATTCAGTGTCTCGGCACAGAGTGGCAGATGAGGAAGATTCTGGTACTGTATCTTCTAATCCCAAATTTCAAAATTAACACATTTTAAAGTCCTGCCCTCCAACATTGCATTTTTACTTATTTTCACAGCTGACAAGCTGAGAATGAGAGATTTTGGTTTCCAACTGCTCTCTGACAGCACAGCATCAAGGCCCTTTTGGCACATGAATTTCTTTCCAACAGCTAAGGTTACAATTTGCTGTACAGAGGCTAGAAACTCATTACACAGGTGCTAAAGCCAGTGTAAAACTTCAAAAAGATGAAGATGCCTCCCTGCAGAGGAAGGCGCGATTGCCCCCGGGGGTCGCTCGCTCCTCAGCCCCCACCTGCCCCGACCGCCTCTAGTGACACTCTTCTTCCAGCTGAAGGGTGGTGGCACAGTCCCGCTTCCTAACCAGCTGCTGCATTTTGCATTTGTAACTTTATTCCAACTTGGCTCTGTAGCTCAAACAAGCCCTGATACACTACTTCCCGTTCTTCTTTTTTAGAAAGCCTAAACCAAAAGGTTTCCCGCTCTAAGGTCCAAGGGGTTTCCCATGCAATTCCACCTGTCCACAGGCAGATCTGCATCTAATACAATTCTTGATGTTTTGTCATTTGGCTCCTTGCTGCAACGATGCCGTGCTATCAAAGGAAGCAAAAGCAGGCCCCGTGAACCACTCCAGGGCAGCCCGGGGTGCAGCGGGGCTCCCCTCCACCACCTGAACGTAATCACAGGAATAAAACACATCGAAAAAGCAATGACAAGTAAAAGCAGGCACTTAGCGACCTAAGGGAAGACTACTTACAGTGCCGGATGGAAAACAACTGCATGCTTTCATCTACGCTCAAAGAAACAACATAAAAGTTTTCTTAGTAAACTGAGAAAACAAGAACAGCGTCCTTGCCGTGTTTTATAGCAGCAAGCATCCGAACGCGCTAACCGAGACCAAGAACGTCACAGCCTGAGTAGAGGATGTGCTCTACTCACTGCTGCGCGTACTGAGAACATCATCTTCTGCATAACAAAGCAGGAGAATTGATGAGCAAAAAGGTTGAACGCTTTCTAAACTTAATTTAAATCAAGTTGAAACACTGTCAACCTACTCTGAGAAGCATATTACATTACAACTCAGGTTAAAATTTCAATGAAATCATCACTGCTACTTTTGAGTGCCGTTATTGCTTGGCTCTCCTATTTGAACTTCACACAATGTGAATAAGTAAAAGCACTGAAAATTATGTGTTTGTGGAACCAGCATGGTAAGATGTGCAACTTCCTACTGACTTCAATGAAGTGACATGAGCTGCTTCTGGCACTAACGTCAAAAATGAAATCTTTCCTTTTAAGATGATTTTGTAATGGCACAACACTAATTGTTTCATAACAAACATGTTTTATTTTATTCTTATTATGAATGCAATTTTAATACAACATCCAAAATTTTGAAAAGCAGCAGCTTACAATTAAGCTCATCTAAGTCTGAAAATCATTCAAGTCATCCAAGTTTATCTGTCTAAATATGCCAGTATGGACAAATGTACAAACATCACTTGTGTGTTTTAGAGGCACAAGCGCCTTCGGCTTCAAACAACAACTTTTGCTGAAGCGTGGTGATATTTCTAGTTGGGGAAACTCGACATACAGCAGGAAACATGGAGTGTGGCAAAATATTTTGGGGGCTATCCTGTTTTCCATGCATCTGCGCTATTGCCACAACAAAGATTACCGACAGAGCAAGGCATTTTTTTTCCTGATAGGTATAAGCTGGACCCTCACATTCCTGCCTTCCTACTACCCCTGCTTCAAACACACAAAACTATTAGCAAACTTGGAATACTCAGCTAACAATTTCACCTGGAAAAACATAGGAGTATGGAAAGATGACATATTTGGATTTATCATTTTGATTGAGGCCTTTTTTATTTTCCTTTTGGTGAAACAGTCCAAATTATTAAAATAGCAGAAAGCGTTTCACAGGCTGAACAAAACCCATTCCTCCGCCGGGGATGCTCCTCGCTTCGCCTCGCGGATGCGGTGGACAAAGCGTCCCCGAAGCAGCTGAGCCGAGGGTGAGACAACGTGCGTTCAGTACTTCTGAGCACATCTCTTTTACTTTTTGTTAATAGTAAAGAAGATTGGTCAAACCTTTGCCTTGCTGCTCTGTTCTTCTCCAGGTTTTATTCGGGGAACGCTCACCACTAATCAGACAGAGAAATATCACATTAACTCGTAGCTCTTGATCGCTACAGCTCTGGGTCTGGAGGGAAGGCTGCATATTGTTACGCCTTAAATGACACTCAGCCGCTCTTCTGTTTTCTGCATCTGCAGCCAGAGAGGGTTTTCACAGCAGAGCTAATGGGCCTTTGCCACCAAGCTAAGAAACCATAACAAAGCCATGTGGGCAGATGCAGAAACAGAAATAATCTTCAGCAAAATGCTACTAGTTAGTCATGAGCAAAGTATTCAAACATAAATGTTACTGAAAATAATTCTTCGC